CCCTGAGCCGGTGAGATTTGAACAGCCGAACTGCAGAACTGCAGTCAGCTGAAGTAGCCTGCAGTGCTGCATTTAACCACTGTGCCACCTCGGCGTAAGGTCATGCAATTATCTTGCAATTAGAACTTTCTAGGGATCCGCTGTGCTTCAGAAAAAAAGTAGTTGAGGAAGAGATGGCTTGTTTAAGTAGTCTCTTCTCCCTGCAAGGGGCAAAAAAGAAAGAAAACAAGCAATTCAGGCACAGGACACTGTATGATGGTACTTTCTCTGAATAAGACAATAGCAACTGCTATTGGTCTTTAGAGCATCTCTCTTTTTCTTAATCACATGGTTTGCTTAGTTGACTGTTGCTTAGAGAGAATTTCCCTGTAAGCATCTGCATTCCTTAGATGAGGACTACCTGTAACACTAAAATATGTATAAAAATAAATATGTAATCCAAAATAGAAAATGACAACCATCACATATTAAACTGAGCCATGAACTTAAAGATAAAGGTTTCCCTCGCACGTAAGTGCTAGTCATTCCCAACTTTAGGGGGCAGTGCTGATCTCCATTTCAAAGCCGAAGAGCCAGCGCTGTCCAAAGATGTCTCTGTGGTCATGTGGCCAGCATGACTAAACGCTGAGGGTGCACGGAACACTGTTACCTTCCCACCTATTTTTGGTTCCTATTTTTCTACTTGCATTTTTACATGCTTTCAAACTGCTAGGTTGGCAGAAGCTGGGATAAGTAATGGGAGCTCACTCCATTACACGGCACTAGGGATTCAAACCGCAGAACTGCTCACCTTTCTGATCGACAAGCTCAGTGTCTTAGCCACTGAGCCACCGCATCCCTTATGCAGTCCTTAAGCTAACTAAGCCATAAAGTGATTTAATTGGGTTTAGCATATTGTGGGAACCCAGCCATTGTGGCTTACTCAGCAAACATTGTTTAAATGAATCATGGCTTGAACCAAAACAAAATTAAACCAAATACTTTTCTGTGGCCTTTGTTTTTCTCTAGCTTGAGAACTACATTGTGGAAAACATGAAGTCAGAAATGGCTCAGCTGCAGCAGAATGCTGTCCAAAATCACACAGCCACCATGCTGGAAATAGGAACCAGCCTTCTCAGCCAGACAGCAGAACAGACAAGAAAGCTCACAGATGTTGAAACACAAGTAAGTAGTCACAATTATTTTCACCAGAACAATGACTATGGTGCAATAATTTCCATTCCCTTTTTCTGACTATTCCTTTTTGACTGATGTAGCCAAGAAGGTGATCACTTTGATTGTGAGCTGCATATATTCTCTTATATAGAAAGGTAGCCATTTTTTGATTAAAACAAAAACATTTTGAGTGTTTACTGAAAAGTAGTAATGGCAGAGTAGATAAAGTCCTAATGGTTATCCATATTTGGTCTACATAAGGCATTGATTCTATCCTAGCTGGGTAGATCTCCTTACTTTTATATTTTTATAATATCTTGAGTCATCCTTGCAACTAATTCCATGGGTATATTTACACATTAACAGGTGTTCAATACTTGGTCTGTATTTTCAACAGAAAAATTTACTCTCACTGAAGTTATTAACTAACTGATCAAAATTCTTTAAATTTGTTAATGTGCTAGAAAAGCTAGCATCGGCAGGAAAATGCTAGACTCCTTCCTCGTAAAGATGAGTGACTTTCTTCCATTGTTCTATGGATTTGGTCAGTCTGTTTCCAATTGGTCCATAATTCTGCTTTAACAGGAAAATGTCTAAAACTAATTTGCAAGTGGGTGGTGGAGAAAATATGCCTTACTTTCCAATGAATCATCTTTTTTAAAGGGCTTCTTTGTTTTTTAAGATAAGGAGCCATCAGAAGTGAACTTATAAATCAGATGGAAAGAAGGGACAGCACAAAAAATATAGTACTCTAGATATAGCCAGTGGTGGGATTCAGCCAGTTTGCACCTATTCGGGAGACCTTTCTAAGCAGTTTGAAGAACCGGTTGTTGAAAGAAATCTCATTTTGTTTTTTCCTTCTTTACAGGGCTAATCCTGTAAGGAAGGCAGGAAGGAAACCTTCTGGTGTTGTTTCTAGCCTAATCTTTATTGCTCTGCTTACATAAACTGCCTCTCTGGTTAACCCTTATTATACTGTAACAGCTAAGATAAAGCGCCCATCGAGTGTGAGTGACATTGAGTTGGTTACACCCACCCAGTCACATGACCACCAAGCCCCACCTACTCAGTTGGTCATTAGGGCAGAGAACTGGTTATTAAATTATTTGAATCCCACCACTGGATATAGCTCTACAATTTAATGATGCAGAGACTTTCCTCTTGAGCTGCTAAAGCAGTGTCCAAAGTCTTGATGGACCAGCATTTGATCACATCAAAATTGTCTTTTGGCTACAGCTTCTTAATAAATTATAAATGTGCACCAAAAACATCCTGCATATGTGCAAAAATACTTACAAAGTCATAAATTCAAACAGATTAAGATTATTTTGAATCAATTTTTGTTACATTTTACAAATTCTGTGCTATTGCAGTGTGATAACAATACAAAAGAATGGAAGCAATTGAAAACTGAAGCAAAGATGTAAGACCAGTCCAGAGTCATTGACATGGTCAGCTCATGTCCAGGAATACCTAGGATAAATGACATGGAGGCTACCTAATTAAAGGTCATCTAAATCCTATATTCCAATATAGCCATTAGTCATTACCTAGATGTGGGTTGGCTGTAATATCAAAGAAGATAGCTCAATTTTGCTGCTTTTTCAGGCTGTAATTGACTCAGTGCTACATAAAAGGCTAGGAAGTCCAGACAACATCTGGTTAATTCCAGGGAGTGCTGGGAACCCATCAGAAACAGGACTAGTGTCAGAAGAGAAGAGAGAGATAATTGCTTAGTATCAGCACTTCAAATTCTGAAACAGCCCATTGGTCCAAACTCATTGGACATCCTTTCATTATTGTTTGCCCTTTGATTTTATCTACCCATTCACAATTCATAATTCCTTACCCTTCTTTCCTCTTCTCTTCTATTTACAGTTTTGTCCACATGTTATCTAACAGTTGTTGTATTTTAGACTGTCTGCTTTAAACAAATACAGTCATATCTGTGATCATTACATGAGCAAATTACACATACCGAGTGTGTCAGATGGACACACACACACACACACACACTCTCTTCAACCTTGACCTATACATGCAATATCCTTTCTATAATTATTACTTAAATGCATATCAACATATGGAGTAACCAAGATCAATTACACAAGGGGGGGGGGGGAACCAGTCTAGCTAGAGATAGTGTACACATGGTGATGACAAGCCTTGTTTAAGCTCTCAGCATTTTTTGTTTTCCAGAGAAAGTCTAATAAAAATTTCATGTGGAATAGACTTAGCTTATAAGTAATGGGATAGTAAGGCAGGAAATCTTTGGAACAAAAGACTTGCATTTTTGTATTTATGTCCTAATGAAGAATAGAGATGACACATTATAGGTTTACACTGTATTAAAAGGAATCAAGCATATCAAAACCAGAGTGGGTTGAATCTATTCTATGTTTTATATGACTTGCCAGGGTGTAGTTGCTAGTTTTCCTTTTCCATTCCCAGTTTCAGTACGCCTTGAGAAAGCAGGATTTTAGTTTAATGGCTTTCTATGGCATTTTCTCACCATATGAAGAAAATATTGGGTATGTTCAAGACGTAAAACATAGATATTGCTCTCTTTAAGGTTTTTTTTTAAGTAACACATGAAGACTAAATTGTGCAAGAGATAAAAAAAATCATACTAGTATTCCAACTTTTCTTCTCAATGTTTTTGTGTTGTGTGACAAGATCTGAGAGTAAACTCTATAAAAAAGCCCAATCTGGGTTGGTCACCAGAACTGGAGGGCAAATCATGCATTTCAAAGATCGCTTGGAGGTGGGGAATACTTGTAATGAAATCTACCAGATGTCCCTGCATGGATTGCCCCTGTGACTGTGTAGGACACATAGGGAGGACGCTAACCACAAGATTGCGAGAAGTGAGCAGTCAGATGACATCCAAATTCATTGGTAGCCTCACATTGCAATGAACAAGGAGATGTATCCAATTTTGCAGTTATTAAAATTGTTGGCCATGCAGGTACAAAGATAGACATGGAAATGATTGAAATCTATGAAATGGGCCCCTTGTCAATCAACAGGAATGCTGATTTACCATCATCTTATCATGCACTAGGAGACAAGTACATGGCAGCACAAGAAAATAATAGCCAATGACTTAATAGCCGGCCATCCATACCTTAATCAACCAATAATGTAACAACCAACCAGGCACCACATAAATATCATGCATAGAATATCCGAAAGCACACACTCTGATTGATTGATATATACATATACATATACATATACATATACATATACATATACATATACATATACATATACATATACATATACATATACATATACATATACAT